CAGCGATGATATGGCGACTAACTCATCATCCAGCGATGATATGGCGACTAACTCATCATCCAGCGATGATATGGCGACTAACTCATCATCCAGCGATGATATGGCGACTAACTCATCATCCAGCGATGATATGACGACTAACTCATCATCCAGCGATGATATGACGACTAACTCATCATCCAGCGATGATATGGCGACTAACTCATCATCCAGCGATGATATGGCGACTAACTCATCATCCAGCGATGATATGGCGACTAACTCATCATCCAGTGATGATATGGCTACTAATGCATCATCCAATGATATCGTTTCGCGTTCGGTAGGAATGACATATCGAAAGCAAGTCTGTCATAGAAAACAGTAGGAATAGCATTATGCCAACGCGTGCCGTGTCAATTATTTGTATTCGTACGAATAGCATTACAATAACAGACCCCACGAAGGAACAGCACTGCACACACCCTGTTGGAATACTACTGCCCGTATGAATAACACTGCTCATCGAGATAACACCTGTAGGAATAATCCTGATCGTAGGATTGTCACTGGCAGTAGAAATAATAATACACGTAGGAATAACACTGCTCGTAGGTATTATGCTGCCCATAGGAATAACACTGCCCGTAGTTATAAAACTACTGGAAGGAATAACATTGCCCGTGGGAATATTACTACTCGTAGGAATAGCACTGCCAATAGGAAATGCGTACCCACAGGAATAGCGCACTCATAGGAATAGCACTGGCCGTAGGATTAGCACACCCAGTACGGATAGCACACCCCGAATGAATACTGTACCCGCATTAACAGTTTAATATTACTACTCGTAGGAATAGCACTGCCAATAGGAAATGCGTACCCACAGGAATAGCGCACTCATAGGAATAGCACTGGCCGTAGAATTAGCACACCCAGTACGAATAGCACACCCCGAATGAATACTGTACCCGCATTAACAGTTCACCCCGTATAGGAATGACACTCCCCTTAGAAATAGCACACCCAGTGAGAATAGCACTCCCCGTATGAATACCACACCCCGTAATAACAACAAAAGCCCGTAGGAATAGCACACCCAGTAGGAATAGCACTCCCCGTATGGATACCATGCTTTGCAATAACAACAAGAGCCCGTAGGAATAGCGCACCTAGTAGGAATAGCACTCCCCGTATGAAAACCACACCCCGTAATAAGAACAAACCCCGTAGCAATAGCACACGCCTTAAGAACTGCACACCGCGTAAGAACTGCACAGGTCCTGATGGCCGCAGCAACAAAGGTCGCTCTGAAATATTCAGCGCGTTTGCCGTGGCCGCCACGCACTCAAGGAGTGGCGAGCGCCGCAGAAGGTTGACGCTGTGATGAAGTGGTTATTATTACCTACGTTATCATAACGAACCAACTGCAGTGATTCATGGCTTCAAAACCGTTATCTTTATAACCATCACGCTTTATACTTAGAACCATTAAATATACCATCCTCACATAAATCAATACCATCATTAGTCCTGGCATCAAAATAAAAATATCATAACTCGAACCGTTGAAGCCATCATCAATCACATCGCCTTATTTGGACGTGAAGTACTGGTTAAGTCATCCCGCAGGTAAGCGAAATATTCAAAGGCGGACGATCAGAGATTGTGCACAAGAAGACGTTTAGTGATCTCTTGAAGTTCTCAAGGATGAACTCACGCTCTCTTAAATCTTTTGGCAGGACGTTAAACAGATTCGGCCTTGCCTCGGAAAGAGATCCTTAAGCAGAAATTGATATCTGACCGCAGCTCTGTTGCGTATTGTGGTCGTATGCACAGTCTCTCCCTTTTTCGGTATGTCATAATCCTAAAAGTCTCACTTTTGAACTTAGATGCCAGTACGGTTATCATTTTCCTTTTGTATATGATGACATTTCTCTCCCGTCTCTTCTGCAGTTGTCAGACCTAGGCATTACAGCCTTCCTCTGTAGTTTTGCTCCTCCATTAAGGTGACCGTAAACGTGAAGGTTTGCTGGACCGTTTCCAATTGCCGCACTACGCCCACCGTGAACAAGGTCCAAAACTGGCAGCAGTATAGGAGAGGGATTACAACTCCAACAATAATTTAGAGGCGTGCGCGACTCTGAAATTCGTGGCGCCCAGGACTCGGGTTGTACGTAAATCAGCTTCTCTATGTTAGCTTCGGCTCAGGGTTTGATGGGCTGCCTATAGGCAGATTTCGTGCGAATAGCCATGCAGGCCCAGAATAACTTTGCGCCGAGTGTAGCAACTATTCGGCCAAAGCCAAGGTGGTCCCTGAATTTTGTTAATGAAGGGCTCTGAAAAAGTGCGATCATCTGTTTCGCTATCTCATGTCTTGAAAGTCCTGCTTCTTGCAGTTTTTGCCGCTATGTGATCATCAAACTTGACCTGGTTGCTCATCATCTCTCCAAGAGGGCGCATGAGTTGCTTCTTTTTGGTTTCTGTGCCGTCAGGTGCCAGGTAGCGGTTCTCCATTCTAACTCTTCCATTGCCTCTGTATCTCATAACCTCAAACTTGGTTCGGCTGCGTTGCACGTTGTTCACTTGGGCCCAGTTAAATATTGCAGACTAGTTTTCTTGCTCCCTTTCGCGTTCTGTCCTGTCCGTTATAGTCATCAGCACCTTGATGTCGACCGTGAATGACAAAGTCAAGACCGTCTCGCCTCGATTGATCTCGAGTCTCCAACGACGGCAGCCTGTAGCCTATCTATCGGGAAGTTGTGGATCGAAGCCAATAATTCTCCTCAGACCCCAAATACTTTTTCGTTCTGTGAAGAGCGCACAATGGTGAACTTTGTCAAAAGCTTTCGCAAAATTAAAGTGCACCACCTCCACCCCGGCTCACTCCACCTGTTGTTTGGCCAGAATTTGGTGTCAATGCTCCAGTAATTGGGACAAGCCGGAGCTATTTTGTTTTAAACTGCGTTGCCATCTGTTGAAAAGGTCAGCCTCCTCGACTGACTAACCCATTAACCCGTGCCATGAGCTCCCCAGCGATCAACCAAGCCCACCATGTTGCTGCCTTCAGAAGCGTAGGTCCCATTATCTATAGCATGAGGTATCATCCAATTATATATTTCCGATGATGGTCATGATAATTGAATCATCTCAGGATGAAATCTGCTTTAGTCTATTTTAAGTAGGAATAACGTATCCTTCGTCTTTACTCCGGTGCAGTTTTAAATTAATCATTAATTTCTCTCGACAAGCAAATAAGCAAGACCAGAAGCTCAAAAGGCTACAAAAAGTGTGTTTAACTTGTAATTCAACTATATTCAAAACCAGCATCCTAATTTAAAGATTTGCTGGCCAAGTGAACACGCGATGATGGTTGGTGTGAGCACCCACGTGATGATGGTGGGGGTGACGATGATGCTGCAGTGTATTGACCCCACCATCGCAGTCACCACTGCACCAATCACAACAATCACCCGGCGTAGTGAGTACTTTTTGCCTTTCACTTTGCAAAAATTTGTCGTATTCGACCAACAAATAAAAATGATTTTTTGAGATGTAATCGATCAGCAGTACCACAGCGTTGTAATCATAGTACTGATATCTCGGCAGTGATGTAGTGCTGCGATCTTGAGCTGTGGAATTCGATAATGTGCCAGCAAAACGTTTTAATACAGAACAAAAATTTGTTTTCACTAATAGTATTCAAGTCTATTTGCATACAGCTAAAAAAGACTGCGTAATAATAAATAAGGCCGGTTGTAATATAAGTAGGAATGAGTGTTGTCAATAAAGGCCAAAAATGTTATGAAGGTTGGCTTATGAAAGCTTTTATGAAGTAATTGTCATTCAGTATGTAATACCGACAAACAATATATGCAATCAAACGATATTATTATTGATCTCCCAAAGAAAAGTTTTTAATTTCGGTTTTTCGTTACTTGTTTAAATCAGATGTGAAATATAATTTGCTGGATCTAAAATATTATAACGGCCGAGTTTTTATTACTTTATTAATTTAAAATTTTTTAATGAGAATTCGTTAGTAGTTTCCCATCTCGCCAACTAATCCTTGCATGAAAAATGTCTATTTTTTATCGACATCATTTTCCCACAAATCTAGCTTTTCCTAGCTGGTAGTAATTTAAGTGCGTTCATCATTGAACATACGACATCCTTTTTAATCACCAGATAAATTACTATCATCATATTTGCAATAAATATTGCTGATTTTTGCAGCCGTGAGTAAATTAGGAATTTTCGTACATCGCCTGAAATTACGAGTATCGCGAAATTAAATCGCCAAAGAATTGCGTAAAATGCAAAATTTTAGTAATAAAATCAGGAATTAGAATTTTGATGTGATACACCATCAGTATTACTTGTTTTTTCTCCATATATTTTCAAATGAACAAGATACATAAATCTTCGGATCAAAACCCGCGGATTTTCACAACGAATCCATGTTAATGAAACCTGATCGTAACACCTCGGATTAATATGGCTTCAAATTGATTAATTAATAGGGCCTAATATTATTTCAAAGCAAACACATCAAATTTTTTACTATCAAGCACTTGAAAGTACAAATTCACATATATTTTATTCTAAATTAATGCTGACAAAAGGTCGTTTCCAAACGTTCTGAAATACATGGAAAAGAAGCAAACGAGGGATCAGATACTGAACGATTGTCACCTATCCTATATTTGTCTACTTACTGAAAATATATTTACAGTTATAGTTACAGCAAATAACACAGTTCACGTACTCAATAAATGCTATCATAGTTACTGCGAATGACTCAGTACATGTACTCAATAAATACGATCACAGTTACTGCAAATGTCACTCAGTTCGTGTACTCAATAAACATGTTCACAGTTACTGTAAATGTCACTCAGTTCGTGTACTAATAAACATGTTCACAGTCACTGTAAATGTCACTCAGTTCGTGTACTCAATAAATATGTTCACAGTTACTGCAAATGTCACTCAGAGTGAGGGCTCGCTGTTCCCTGCCTGAAGGACAGCTACATTCTTGTGTGTGGACTGACGCTAGAGCTACACAACACAAGGTGGTTTTATCTTTCATTTACTTCAAGTACAATTAAATGTTTTAGTGAACTTCCATAGTCTACACAACAAAAGGTGGTTTTATTTCATATTTAATTCAAGTCTAATTGAAATTTTTAGTGAAATTCCATAGTGTCTACTTCTACCGTATTAAAATTCGGTGATCTCCTAGGCTGCCCAAGAGTTACGCGTTACACTCGGCCTAAATTTATTCAGGGACTGATTCACCCCCGATCTAAATCAGTGTCTAGTCAGATATTCTTTCTAACATTATAGTCGCCAGAGAGCATGAGAAGGGTTGGCCGAGCCGAGTCATACCGAGCTAGCAAGCTGGCCAGACGCTGCCATCCAAACCCTGTGTCGTAGCGGACATTGAGCGGCTGATTTGTGCCCCCCCCCCCCCGAGTCCTAGGCGGTACCTATTTTAGAGTCAGGCCCGCATCAAAATTTAAGTAGGGTAGTAAAACTTTTAAACCCTAAATTTTTTGTGACTATTGTATTTTTTATTCTTCCTTTTGAACAGTCTTTTTCTCTCTAGTGTGCATAATTTTTCCTGATTTTTTCTTGAAATACACAACAAAAGATTATATGCAATACACTTCAATGCTTTTCAGCTCTCGTGAAGCAAATTATGGTGAGATTTTTATGGAAATTTCAATTTTTAGTAATTCTTGCATGACCATTCCCTTTTACCTTATGCGAATAATATTTATTTTTCTTAAATTTGCAGACGTATTCACAATGCAGCATAACTGTTACCAAGCACTCACGACACTAATTCGGGTGATAAATACATTATCTAATTTCAGATTTAATGTATTTGGTACAAAATATTCATGGAAGTTAATAACTAGCTAGTTTTGAAGCCATAATGGAGCACGACTTGCGTGCCGTTTCTGAGCAGTCACTTTTGATTTTGATTGTATACTAATACAGTCAAAATTATATTTTGCTTGTTATGTTGCCAGATGGAAGATATCCGAGGTAAAAAGTGGCCAAATGTGGCAGCTATTGGTCCCGCTAATGACTGCAGTGTTGCCATCAAGAACATCACCTCTGACTTGTATGGCAACATGACTTGCCACGCCTCAGATGGCAACGCCACCGTACTGCTGGCAACCGTCAACCTCTCCGTTATCAGTGAGTCCTAAACATTAACTTTAAATATCAAACGTTTTCATCTTAAATCTTGTTCCTCTAGTGATAATTTTTGTATCAATATCAATCACAATTAGCGTATATTTTCAATCGTTAACCTACTGCAGCAGCAAAATTTTATTTCATTGTTAATTTTTTTCTTCGGCGTAAGTTGATTTGCATTGGTTGTTTGAAAATTATTATCACGGCTTCGATAATTATTTTCAGGTCATTATTGGATACGAGTTACTCTCCTTTTAAATTTGCAGAATAGTTGCGGCCACATCCACTTATTTCTTTCTTCAATGTAGACCCCAGTTTCTTAAATCGTCGTGATGGAAATAAAAGATAGTTTAAAATCATTATTTTTTCAATCGCTGCATGACAATATTAAGGAAAATCAAGGTCATATACACGAGACACCATGGCTAAGAAATGCAGTTTAAAGAAAATTTTTGCGACTAATAATTGTCTCCAATAATTCCTGCGACAAAAAATTTAATATATTTAAAAAAACACGGATGAATATAAAAGGCAAAAATTATACAATCTACTTCGTACCGTTAAGATATTTGCAATTCATGATGAACTAACTGCGGTTCTGAAATTTATTAGTCTTAGAGATCATCGTGACGATCTTCCTAGAACTTAACGATCAATTTTCAGTCACTGGTATAGTTTATCTGCGGAACGTCAGAGTAACTTAGAACTTCAGAGTAACTTAGAACTTCAAAGTAACTTAGAACCTCAGAGTAACTTAGAACTTCAGAGTAACTTAGAACTTCAGAGGAACTTAGAACCTCAGAGTAACTTAGAACTTCAGAGTAACTTAGAATATAAAAGGCAAAAATTATACAATCTACTTCGTACCGTTAATATATTTGCAATTCATGATGAAATAACTGCGGTTCTGAAATTATCTGCAGAACTTCAGAGTAACTTAGAACTTCAGAGTAACTTGGAACTTCAGAGTAACTTAGAACTTCAGAGTAATTTAGAACTTCAGAGTAATTTAGTACTTCATAGTGACTTAGAACTCTAGAATAACTTAGAACTTCAGAGTAACTTAGATCTTCAGAATAAAACTTAAAACTTGAGCGTAACTTAGAACTTCAGAGAACTTTAGTACTTCATAGTAACTTAGAACTTTAGAATAACTTAGAACTTCAGAGAAACTTAGAACTTCAGAGTAACTAGAAATTCGGAGTAACTTAGAACTTCAGAGTAACCTTCAACTTCAGAGTAACTTAAAACTTCAGAGTAACTTACAATTTCAGAGTAACTTAGAACTTCAGAGTAACTTAGAACTTGAGAGTAACTTAGAGCTTCAGAGTAACGTGGAACTTCAGAATAACTCAAAACTTCAGAATAACTTAGAACATCAGAGTAACTTGAAACATCAGGTAACTTAGAGCTTTAAAGTAACTTAGAACTTCAGAGTAATTTATAACTTTAGAGTAAATTAGAGCTATAAATAACTTAGAACTTCAGAGTAACTTGAGAGCAACTTCAGAGTAAGCTGAGCTCTGATATTCTCAGAGCCGCCGCGTCTCGTCGAGGCTGAGAACGTATCCTTTGGGGAGGTTGTGGCCACGATGCACGTGGACGCTTCGGTGCTCGTATCTTCATCGTATCCTACGGTGATGGCGTGCGCTGCTGCTGATCCTGCTGCTGCTCTCACGTGGATGCTTGACCACCGTAACATCAACCAGCACGCCCGGCAACGCAACCATGTAAATACCATCACCAACACGAACATGTGTAATTATCACCTACCCCACTACCAATACATCACCTATACCGCAATCACCTCAACCACACTCACGATCGTGCTGTCACCATGACTATATATACTACAACTGTGTAATCACTACCAGCGCCAACAAAACCTGCTACCCAATTACTACCAGAAGCATTACCATAGGTAATCATCAATCACCACAACCAACACCGCAACCATGTAATAACCTCATGCATCAACCGACCTTATAATAAACACCATAAGTACGAAATCACAAACACCGTTACCATAACTTTCCGAAGAATTAACAACAATCACCATCAAAGTTTAATTACCACCAACACTACCACTGCAAAAATCACCACCTACCACCACAAAAACCACCACCCAATTGCCACCCTCTCCACCACATGGTGATTACTACCTCCAGCACATCGTAATTACCAACATTACCGTCACCATATAGTGATTACCAAACATCACCCTATAATCATTACCCCACAGCTACATATTGATTACCCCATCATTACACAGTGATTATTACTTACGCCACATCGTAATTAGCACCATCACCCCCGCCATCAGCACTTATAGGTCTCTCCAGCACCACAACACCATTATCAACACAGTTTCATATAGCATTGGATTGTAGTTTTATGGTAGCTTATTGGGCGACACGGTCTCTTAGGCCGTGCGCTGAAAGCCGCAAGGCCTCGTTTTGATTTGGACGGTACCTATGAATTTCTCCACTAATTAGATTCAACTCTACTCCACTCGTAAATGACATGAAAATAAGAATATTTATTTGTTTATCCAGCTATTTCTACAAACACTGGGCAGTTACATAAAATATATAAACTTTGCATTAAAAGAGTTATGATTGAAGGAAAATTTTCATGGAACTAAAATTTTATTCTTCATGAATTGTGCAATTTCGACGAATTTTTAGGACGAAAATGGGTACTTTTATTCCCAATTGATTTGTATACACGATATTTCTTGATCATCCTCCTTATTGTAGATATTTGTACCCAAATACAAGTAAAAAAACGAGCATGCTTACATGTGGAGTGTAAATCCCGTATAGTACAAATTCCAATGCCGGTGATGTTGCAGGAATAAATGGAGGCACATGTCGCAAATTACTCAGCTGTCAAGCTCGACGGGGCTTGTGGTAAGGCCTCTATCCGAAAAGTGAGGAAATAGAGATAAGCTAACGGTCGGCCGGAGCTAATTAGTTCTAACCGACCGCAGGCCATTCCACCCGAAAACCGTGTGTTTTCCAAAAATTCGTGCTTGGTCAAATTTCATCTTACAATGACTTCACCCTCGGTAGTAGCAATATGCCGGAGTGAGGAGTGAACACAGATTCCCAATAATCGCTGTCAGATTTCAGCGCGGTCTCAAAATTAGTCTTAAAACAATCAAATTTCTTGAGTTTCCCCGCAAACTTGGTAACCGAATGTCTGGACCACAGGCCGCGGGTGTGAAATCAGTGCTGCGCCATCAGTTCAAGAAGGAGGACGAGCAACGTTCCCTGCAGTGCTGCCTGTCGTCATGCTTTAAAATCTTCTGCGCCTCTGCCACCGTTCGCAGTCTCCGTAAGATTGATGACTTTTGTCCTGTCAATGTGTATCAAAATTAATTAACATAACACACACAAAGAAATTGAAAATAGAATAAGTTTACAGAAGTAAGTAGAAGCATAACTAAAAATTCGGTCAGGATATAGGTGTGATAAACGATATATATTCTCAGAAATTAAACTTAAATTCGATGAGAAGAAGTTTTAAATGGAAGGGTTAATGAAACTTAACGGAGGGATGCAGTCACTGTGCACCACACACCAAATCGAACTTAAATATAAAACGAAAAATAAATTTTAAATTGGACACTAAATAAATGAACACCCACCACAGACAGCGCCCGTGGCTTCACTTCAGAGTATCCACACGACGGTGGAGTTCTGGTGAGGTTCTTCAGCAATCCCGAGCCCACCGCCCTGTTGTGGGGATTTTCCCCCTCATGTGACATGCCCCCCGAGAACCTGGACCCCAGTGGGGACCCGAACATCACCTCAACCCTGACTCACGTGAGTGCTCTTCCGCAGCGTTCCTCTCACCTGAATTTAAGCATTAATTTGATGAAATCATAAATACCAACATTTATACATTTTTTACCTTCACTTATTCTTCCATACCTTAATTATCGCAATTTATATCTCACATGCATGTGAAACTTGATTGCTGCTATCGATACCTCACCTGAATTTTTCTTGCCTTGAATTTTCCTCTTTTCAACGAAATTAAGATAATTTTCTTCCTTCAAACTATTCAGGACTCGGGGAGTGCGTATGTGGCCAGGCTAGTGGTGCCTAATCCTCCCGAAGGGGAGAAGCTGCTGCTCACGGTCACCAACAGCGAGGGGAATTCTACTCACTGCACTACCTACCTCCCCACAGGTACTCCTATCTGTCTGGTACCGACCAACATAGTTGCGTCATCTCGTTTAGCTGTTACATTGAGTGTGTATGTCACCTCCAGTGACATCACACTGGCGGTTCTGCAATGCCTTATCAGCACCGATAAGTCAGTCACCACACAGCCTCTCAAGCAACACGTCTGCTGAAGGCAACAGCAGATTGGACATACAATTATCTGTATCTCTCTATCTGTATCCAACAGGTACAACTCTTCCACTTTCACTCCCAGGAGGAACCTCTTATCTCTTTCATCGCATGTACTCACTATTGTCACTACCGACAAATTCCTCACTTCACTTTCACTCTTCTTCCGTATTTCCAACACTCATTCTATTCTTGCAGTTATTCTGCATGAATACCCTCCCACCCCCTGTCTTCTCTTTATTCACAGCATTATGACCTAATGTCTTAAAGTTTTGGATGCCAACGTCTACGATGGTGCTGATGTCCAGTTTTCGTCGCCCGTGCGACGTGCATATGTCCTCATTTGTGTAAGCCGGAGTTGTGGTTGCTTACATTTTTGCTGATAGTACTTGAGCATTGACGAAAGATATTGTGCTGTGGGACTCAAGTAGTTAGTTTCATAAGGTCTCTTGAGAACTCATCTCTCTGAGCTCCATCGTTTCAACTCCACTCCACCCATCCAAACACCCATACAACCTAGACCCAGTCTCGAAATAGGAATCCTCCCGAAGGGCTTGAACACTGGCGGCCGGAACTCGGTGTTCAAGCCCTTCATGGGCCGCAACCTTATTGGCTGCAAGAAGTTAGAGGAGAGGAGGGGCAATTTAGGTGGTAGAGCAAAACATCGGCTGCAAAAAAATTTTGAGTCGGGGCAGCGTGATTTTTGAGTCTTTGGCTCCAGAGCTTATTTTAAAGTTAAATTTGTGGCCCACGGCTGCACCCCCGCCCTTTCAGATTTGAAAACCTATCGAATGGCATTTGGGAATTTAGTGGTACAATGTAGTACTATTAGTTACAGTGGCACGATGTTGCAAAAAGGATTGTGCCTCAGTGTTACATCTGCGGTGTTGGGCAGGTCTAGGCAGTGGAGCCATCATCGGCATCTCGGTGGCCGCCGCCACGACGGCCGTCTTGGTAGCGCTGGCGCTCTTCATCTTCTTACGCACGCGCGTCGCCGGCCGCAGTACCTAAAATGGCGTGGCGGCCCCGGTGAAACTGCGCGGTATCTGAGTTGGAACTGCGCGACAACTGCTATAAAACTACATGGTGTCAGAGGTTGAACTGCGTGGTAGCTGCGATGAAACTGCGTGGTAGCTGCAATGAAACATGCGCGGTACCTGAGTACAACTGCCTGGCAGAAACAAATAAACTGCGATGCTCCTGGGAAAAAATTCTGTAGTGTCCAGATGCGGTAAAACTGCCTATCAACTACGTTGAAACAATAGCAAATATAATACAAGCTGCGATTCAATATTGAGAAACAATATTTTTGTAGGGTGAAATATTTTTACCCTCTCGTGCACTGAATTAGAGTGAAAGATTGTGATGCCGGTATCCCAGATACGTGAATGATGTTTTATATGGCAATGATGTTTAAAACTGATGATTAAACCTTGAATGGTTCTGTATAAACGAGTATACTTAAGGTATACTCGTAAGTTTGAGATGAAGCTCAACGTGAGAAATAAACTGTAGATCAGCTGACATAATTTAAACTTTGTATTGTTTTCTGTCACACAATAAATTTCGTAGGGTTTGGAGCCTTAAAAGTAAATTCGCATGGTTTACAACAATAAAATAAACTTCGCACGGTTCGCACCCACAAGATAAATTTTGTACGGATTGTAACCATAAATAATTTTGTATGGTTCGCTACCATAAAATAAGCGTTGTACGGTTCGTAACCATAAAATAAATTTTGTACGTTTTTCGACCATAAAATAAACTTTATACGGAATGCTAACAAAAAAAATTTTATATGGTTTACTACTATAAAAAACTTTGCTACTATCTATGCACAAAGCCGTTCGCGGTTTGAACGACGTTCCGTCCAAGCTCGTGCCATTGTGATCAATATTTGTGTAATCAAAACAGTTGTTGATGTATTGATGTTACGTTAAAGTATGATGTAATTCACACACTGTATGTCAAGCTCGTATATGATAAGAATGTAGAGCACTGATGTTCTTCCTGTAACTGATGTCGGGACCAATAATCATACATACTGCGATAGAAAATGTATAGGCTTTATTATTACAATTGTGAGACAATTACTCCTCGCTTTTCTAGCCAAACTGGGTCAGGGTGACCAGCATATGGTGAAGACAATTAGTGCATCGCTGTTTGGACAAAGTCTCACTAATTTCTCTATGCATCCGTCTTAAAGTTTAGCAAATCCTGTTTAGTATGAATGTTTTCATGCATTCATATATATTTGGTAGAGCCATCCATTCATTCAGTGTGCCTTTTTTATTTACTTTTTTTAAATAGTATTCCACTCACGCGTGACACGCTAAACTTTTTTGCGCAGGGCGGAATATTGGAAATTATTTGTAAACAATGAAATTGAATGTGAAATTTTAATTTACGTTTGAATCAACTAATTTAATTATTGTTAATTTATTGCCTTCCGCAAAAGCTGTTATAGAGTAAAATATTTTTACGCTTTATATATAATTTTTTCCGCTTTGAAAATATATTTTCAAAGAAGGCGTGCCATTGCAATTGCAATTTTCAATTAATTTATAATTTTAAATGCACTTCTCCATTACTTCATAATTATTACTCAAGAGATTAGTTAGAATATTTCTAATTTATTTATCTTATTTGCATGTTATTTTCTAAGGAGTCTGGATAAGATCGAGATGTATTTTCTTACTAAATGATATGTTTTACGTTGTACATGAAATTCCATAGTGTGCTTCAAATCATAGGTAAGATATAAGCTGCTATTCGTTGACAATCGGTGGTCATTCTTAACCTTTTTCTATATCACGACAATATAAGTTAATAATATGTGCGCTTGGCACTTGCAATGATTGAATAAATTAAATAAATATTGAATGTGAACCACATGAGAAGCCATGGAGCTTCGGACGGCGCTGTCAGGGCACAGACGTGCGAGAAAATGCGCTCTCTGTCACTCACTGCAGTGAGTACTGAGTTATATTTTTTATATTATATTTCTGTCATCTGCGTGGACCTTACACTTTGAGAAATGAGTACCACATGGTCCAAAAAGTGAAATGTTTTTTTTTCTCCTTGTGTAGGTCATCCTGAAACAGTTTGGCCCGAAAAAAGGGCGTATCAGGTAAAGTGTGTCAAATGGGACAATGTAACCCATTTATTTTTCTTAATGTATACAGCGCCTTAATTAATTGGCTGCAACTCACATCGTGCAATTGAATTATGTAATTTTTATTTCCATTAAATATAAATATGATCGATGTTTGATACATATAAATTTATACATGACCATCAATCTTTAAAAATGATAGTGTTACATTATCAAATTAAACGGAACGACAAAGAGTTTTCAACAATCTTTTGAAAGTAGTCCTTGAAAAGGCTGATGATAAATATTTTGCATTGAATTTATTAACAATGTAGCGACTATTTTAATAGATTATTAATGTTAGCTCGAGATTGACTGCAAGTCTTCATGGAGCAAGCTAGATGCTCCCAGATCGATGTCTGTTGCTGATCACGGACATCAGAAAATTTGTTGTTGTGATTGTTTAAAATTTAAATGAAAAATAATAGCGGTGTTACTTTTGTAGAGTCACAGCAGAATTTTTCAGCGTCATGTCTATAGATTTGTTAAACTTGCAATAGAACATCGTTCAATAGAATGCTTATGCCATGAAAACAATGGACAATATCCTTTCCAGGATATTGACCATTGTCAATTAGCAATTAACAATTGTTGTTTGTTTAATTAGTTAATTGTTCAACATTGACAATATCCTTTCCAGGTCTAGGCTTCCAAACATTTTTCCAGAGAGATTTGAACCAGGGAAAGTTTTTAGCAAAGGGAACTTTCCGACCATGTAGTCAGTTAAGCCAAATAACTATACAAGTGAATTGGTCAAACTTTACCGATAAATATAGCAAACTTTACCGATAAATATAGAGACACGTTTTGTTTTGCACCGACGATGAAGGGAGTTCAAATAGCTTTGTCTCTATGACACCACCATTTGATTTTTGCATGGTGGCTAAAAAATGATTTAAGCCTAAAATTCTTGGAATTTTTTCAATTTCCCTCTTATACAGTAGCTGAAAGTTTGTGGTCATTTTATCCTGGTAGAACAATTGTCTGTATTATTCTGTATGAATTATTGTCTGTGTTATCCTGGTAGAATAATTGTCTGTATTATTCTGATTCCATACAAGTGCTTACATCTATGTTTTAAGAAACGCAAGATTGGCAGTAGTGAAGCACATATAAATGAAACACAGTTCTTGTTTAAACAAAATTTGAACTAAACGTGTATCATTTACCTAAATCAGCCTAACCGAGTCAGAAGGTAAAAATTACAGTACAAACTGACTAAAATATGTAAATGGCATCAGCCGAATATTGAAAACCGTCGTTGAGTGTTCCGTCGTGTGAAAATTTACACAGATTCACAAGTTGTGGCAGTAAATACCTCGTTGTGGCAGGAAATACCTCGTTGTGGCAGGAAATACCTCGTTGTGGCAGGAAATACCTCGTTGTGGCAGGAAATACCTCGTTGTGGCAATAAATACCTCGCTGTGGCAGGAAATACCTCGTTGTGGCAGTAAATACCTCGTTGTTGCAGTAAATACCTCGTTGTGGCAGGAAATACCTCGTTGTGGCAGTAAATACCTCGTTGTGGCAGTAAATATACAAGAAATATTTCCATTACCAATTGATGTTCCAGGCTAAGTTATATTATCATAGCCCTCAACCAGTTCACAAAATTCCCCTCATGCATCAGAACAAGTAGACTCGATCAGACTGTTCTGTAATGGCGTATTTGGCTTCACAATAGAGGAAACTACTCGGTGAGTTTACGCTAAATGCGTAACTCAAAAACAGTACTTATGTTAAAACGTTTTGCGTACGTTACGTCTACGTTAAAAATACGCCTCGTACCAAGGAACAACTAATCTTGTAAAATTCCATTTCATGAATATCACGGCTGCCGAAATTTTAACTAAATCGTATCCTGAGAGTTTGATAGGGGTTGTCCTGACCTAAGCAACCACTGCATGTGCCATGAGCAAAAGCACTGGGCAGAAACCCAGTGCTTTTCTGCCCATACACTGGGCAGAAACCTAACTGAACAAGGCTCCTATCTGGTCATGTACAAGTATATGTACGTTTGTACACGTTCAATATTGTTAGCCGCTACTATACGTTCTCGATCATTCTACCACGTAAGTAGAATGATCATTATAAGCTCATAAATCTGTCATTAGTTCGGGTGCATTTCCGGTCGTCGTTTTCCATTTTCATCTCGTGCAGTGTTCTAGAGTGCCGACACACAAATTGCTCGTGAGAATATTATTCTACTCTTTAACGAATAAATAATACACGCAAAACAAAGATAGGTGAATGAAAAAATACACGCTCAGTTAAATTTTATTACGTAATTTGGAAACGAAATTCACAACACAACAAATCACAACATGTCCTGCTGACTTGTTCTCGTAACAAATTACAATCATCAAACCACTGAAAATCAATAAAATAAATAAAGTTATGCTAGGAAAAGAGCCGCACTCAACATTTTTACGCCAGCTGTTATGTATTTAGGATCTCAACGTAGATCCAAGTGTACATTCTTCGCAGCTGTACGTCCAGCACGCGGTACTTCAAAGAGTTGAGTCCATCTGAGGCGTAGCGGCTCCTGCCCGAGCGCAGCATTTCAAACCTGAGATACAACATCGCTTTGAGTCATCATCTTTTAAAGTAGATACTAAGTTATGTAAAGCGGAGATTCTGGAAGTCGAGCTACGATATTGCTTCTAGTTCCGTGTCTGGTCACTAAGCTGCAATATAATGCTGGGCGCATCGACTGGGACTTGAGCAAGATGAACCAGAGCAAGAGGAACCAGAGCAAGATGAACCAGAGCACTTGAGGCTTGAACACAGACGATGCGTGGGAATGCCACTGATTCTCAATAACAGTTGCCACTTTCGTTTAAAATTTAGGTAAACATGTGAGTGCAAACCTGAGAGGATTGGGTTTATCCTTCTCGTGTGTGATCATGGTGTAGCGTGATATATTGGCGGGGTTACGGGAGATGGACAGCCCGTGATATTTAATGCGGTTTGCCATGTCATCGTCTTCCCCGCCCCAGCCCCAGAACTTGTTGCTGAAGCCGTTCACTTGCCGAAATTGTTCCACTGAGATTGCGCATGCGCCCCCGAAGATATTTTTGTATGGTAGCCTAGAGTAAAATGGATCTTGATAATCAGGATCATAATACGAATTGTATGAGTGATAATATCAAACTGGTCGTATCTTTCTCAGACTATTTCATGCTCATCTTAAACTGATCAAGTCGTGACTACTCCTGGTGTAAGACATGTCGTTGTGACTACTGCTAAGTAAGATATCCTGGTAGTGGCAACTAGGTAAGGAAGGGGGTGATAGGTCAGTTTTTTAGGGTACTTAATGCCACTGGTAGTTCCACGATATTGCGAGACTCAGTTGTAGTTCTGGTGTAGATTGTATGACTCACATGTAATTCATGCTGTACACTGCAAGACTCACTTGTAGTTCATTGCGTAGATTGTTTGACTCACCTGTAATTCATGCTGTATACAGCGACACTCACCTGTAATTCATGCTGTATACTGCAAGACTCACTTGTAGTTCATGGCGTAGATTGTATGACTCACCTGTAATTCATGCTGTACATTAAACCAGAGCAAGAGGAACCAGAGCAAGAGGAACCAGAGCAAGAGGAACCAGAGCAAGAGGAACCAGAGCAAGAGGAACCAGAGCAAGAGGAACCAGAGCAAGAGGAACTAGAGCACTTGAGGTTTGAACACAGACGATGCGTGGGAATGTCACTGATTCGCAATAACAGTTGTCACTTTCGTACATAATGGTTCTTCACAACAGTGGTAATGATGGACAATGCTTTTGATGGCGTCTTAATTTTGTAATTCTATTATCGAATTGAGTCAAGGACAACGATATGACCTCAAAGTATCAGAGTTTCCTATGCGAAGAACCAATTTAAACTCTGATTCCTAAGCTAATAACAGACCTGAACAATGATTCCTTAGCATTTCTTCACTGTTATTGCACGTACCCGTCCGCTCTATACCGATATCCCGATAGTTTTATAAAGCCATTTATTTACCATTGGAATAATTAGGAAAAAATGTTGAAAATTCATAAATAAACAACTATCGCGGCAGAAACATTGAACGTTGCTGTTGATTAGCTGAGTGTCGAGCAGTGATTAACATTTATAGATTTTTTCTACGCAAGCGTGTTTTACCAATAATAATATTCTCGTTTTAATTTTCTAAATCGATCGAAACACCAGGCATTTCACAAACAGCTTCTGCCTCACCGTGACTGATAATAATAAGTGATGACCAGTGGTCGGACGGCGCATGTATTTGCTTCTAATACTGCTGGCCATTCATGGGTCATCTGACAAGCGTCTGTTGTCTGAGAGCCAACGGAGCTACAGAGATTCCCTTTCAGAGAACACGAGTCAGAAGCTGACCAATGCAATGAAGTAAGCGCCTATTTCACCGCATTGTCCCAAACGAAACACACTCAAATTTCGAGGTAATGTCGAGCTGAAATTAATTGATTATGTTTAAAATTAAGGTGAACATGTGAGTGCAAACCTGAGAGGATTGGGTTTATCCTTGTAGTGCCTGATCATGGTGTAGCGTGAGATATTGGCGGGGTTACGGGAGATGGACAGCCCGTGATATTTAATGCGGTTGGCCATGTCATCATCTTCCCCGCCCCAGCCCCAAAACTTGTTGCTGAAGCCGTTCACTCGCCGGAATTGTTCCACTGAGATTGCGCCTGCGCCCCCGAAGATATTTTTGTATGGCAGTCTGGAGTAAAATGGATCTTGATAAGCAGGGTCATAATACGAATTGTTTGAGTGATAATATAAATCTGGTCGTATCTTTCTCAGACTATTCCTGCTCATCTTAAACTGATCAAGTCGTGACTACTCCTGGTGTAAAACATGTCGTTGTGACTGTTGTTAAGTAAGATATCCTGGTAGTGGCATCTATGTAAGGAAGGGGGTGATAGGTCAGTTTTATCGGGTAATAAATGTCACTGGTAGTTCCACGATATTGCGAGACTCAGTTGTAGTTCATGGCGTACATTGTACGCTTGCCTGTAATTCATGCTGTACATTGTGGTACTTACGTGTAGCCCAGGGTGTCCACGGCGACACTCACCTGTAATTCACTTGTATGCCTCACCTGTAATTCACTTGTATGCCTCACCTGTAATTCACTTGTATGCCTCACCTGTAATTCACTTGTATGCCTCACCTGTAATTCACTAGTATGCCTCACCTGTAATTCATGCTGTACATTGTGGTACTTACGTGTAGCCCAGGGTGTCCACGGCGACGCTCAGATGCAGAGGTTGCTCACGACAGGCGTACAAGTTGCGGTCGTCTTCAGGCAGCAGGTCGATGTCGTGGAAGACGAGGCAGTCGTAGGGGTACAGCTTCGCGCTCTCCAGCGCCCCGATGTTCATAAGTGTTGCACGGTTGAACTCTCTTTTACCTTTAAATAAACTTATTATCAAAGTTTTTTATCTCTTTTACCTTCAAATAAACTTTTTATTAGAGTTTCATTTTATTTCAGAAAGAAAAACGTGGCGGTACGTTTAATAGAATATGAAAGGTTCCATATGTGGATCAAAACGATGTAGAGTTAAGGAGTTCTTGTTAAAACACGGTGACTAAATTGAACGAGAAAGTGTGAGGTGGATTACTCCTCGCTAAGTTTTACACCAAAACTCATCGGTATTGCATGTTTATGTGCTCATAATTTAATTTTTTCAATGACTTCCTTATAGGTTCTTCAAAATATTTCATGTTTTATTGTAATTTAACGCATGTAATTAATTGTCGAACGAAAAAAGGATAAAAGTTTGGTCAGAAAAACATCGAAACGAAGCAGAAATTCATTAAATTCAGTTCAATTGCCTTCTCAAGATTCTCTAATGAAGAACTGATTAATTGAGTAACGAAATTACTTGATATTCAAAAAAAAGTAATGGTCCTCAATTTTATAGCTACTGATTATATACGAAAACATGTGAAGTTAGCAACAACATCCACCTACAACTTACCGGCCTCAGCTACCGCAATCAGCATACTAAGAATAATTAAAACTGCATTTAGGATTCAGTCCCATGTATAAGACAGGTTGGTGTTACATGTAAACTACAGGTTCGCATTACATGTAAACTACAGGTTCGCGTTACATGTAAACTACAGGTTAGTGTTACATGTAAACTACAGGTTCGCGTTACATGTAAACCACAGGTTCGCGTTACATGTAAACCACAGGTTCGTGTTACATGTAAACTATAGGCTCGTGTTACATATAAACTATAGGTTCGTGTTACATGTAAACTATTTGTCCGTGTTACATGTAAACTACAGGTTCGTGTTACATGTAAACTACCCAAATAAAAATTAAGAGTGGAGCACCTATGTTTTTAAGATGGCTATAGGCGGTCTCTTATACACATCTCATCCG